CCAGTCCTGAAAAGCAAGTTTCAAGCCAAGGAACCTTGGGGGAAACATGAGGAAAAGGAGGAGGACTGGTAAGAAATGGAGTGTGTGGGGAGCCAGACCACAGAGGGCCTTCACAGCTGTTACAAGGAGGCCGGATGCTGTCACAGGGCAGCTTGGCAGCCATGGAGGTGCCAGGCAGGTGCTGGCGTAGCCAGGTGGCAGTTTGGAAAGATGTCTTTGCTCTGGTGAGGCGGGTGAGAGGGGCCAGAGGGAGGCCAGTGCTGAGGCTGCAGAGAGGGTGCAGGCTGGCTCTGGGGGCTGTCACCAGGGGCCACCTTGGGGCCACAGGGGAAAGTGCCGTCTGTCTCATTTGGTGCTGGGAACTGGAACCATGGGCTCCAGCTTCCAGCCCTGGGGGTCCCCATGCCCCTTTGTCCCCCAGGCCTGGGCTCAGGGCACGAGCTGCTGCCCTTTCCGTGCTAGGCTCCAAACCCCACCTGCTGGGCCACACTGCACCTTGAGACCCATTCCTGTGTCCCCCTACCTCAGGGCACGGGGCCCTTGTCCGTCACATGGGGAGAATGCTTCCGGGGGTGTCGGCCGGTCCCCCTTTCCAGATGACAAGGCCTTGCAGCATTGGAAAGTGTCCCTCCACCTCTGCAGGGTGGCCGGGCTGCAGGGATGGGCAGTGTGCGTGGGGCCCGAGGGACGGAGGTCAGAGACGCCCCCTCGCGGCAGGGCTAGGCCGTCTCTCTGTGTCCAGTGACCACTGGGGGGCACCGCAACCCCAGGCAAGGCGGCGGAGGGGCGGGGTGGGGTGGGCAGGGGCTCCCGGCAGTGACCCCGGCTCTGTCCCCAGGGGCCCTACATCTTCCTGGTCTACGCCGCCTGCAACGGGGAGGTGAGTCGAGGTCGCGGGCGGGGCCCAGGCCGGGCAGAAAGGTCTCCCGCCTCACCTCGGCGCTGTTCCGAGGGTGACAAAGAAGAAAGCAGCGCTCCCGGGGACCAGCGGGGGACCCGACGCCCACGCCCGTACCTTCCAGACGCGCTCCCAGGACAGCCCCGCAGCCTGGGGTCCCCCAGGAAGAGATGGGGCTCTCAGAGGTCTGGCCTTACCACCCTGCCGTGCCTCAGTTTCCCCAGTGCGCAGGCAGGGCCCGGAGGACAGTGACACACCTTGTCAGCTTGTTTGAAAGACAAGAAATTGAGGCCTAGGAGACTGGAACCTTGAGAAATGGCTTAGAAATGATTTGTTGAGCCAGTCGTGATGGTACACACCTGTAATCCCAGCAATCAGGAGGCTGAGGCAGGAGGACCTCCGTGTATTCGAGGCCAGCCTGGCCATTGTAGTGAGTTCAAGGCCAGTCTAAACTACATATCCAGGACCTCTCTCAAAAAAAAAAAAAAAGCTTTTCCCCAACCCCCCAACTACCACCACCTGGAGGAAGCAGGAACTTCTGGTGCCCAGGCAAGGGTGGGGCTTGTGGGGTGACTTTCCCTCCAGTAACAGAGGGGGGAGGTTCCTGCAGACAGGTGAGTGTGTGGGTTAAATGGTCCCAGTGCCAGTCCAGCCCCCATCCGCTCCTGCACACCATGCTGGGCCTGCTTCCTTTCGCTGATCTGGGATGGGGGATTTGACCAGGAAGCCCCAGCAGGGTGAGAGCAGGGAGGGCTTCCTGTCTCCCAGCTCCACGTGCTTCCCCTGCCAGGCACCCCTTGCTCCAGGATCCCCGAAGCCTTCTCCTCCATCACAGAGCCCGAGAGACTGGTGAGGCTGGGCATCAGGCAGGGTTGGGACGCGGCGGTAGCTGCAGGCCCTGGGGACCTGGACTCAGCTCCCGGGAGCTGCAGTGCAGGCTGCAGCACAGCCTGAATGCCAAGGCCACCAGGTGGAGGGAGGCGCCATCTCCAAGGTAGCCAAGGGCCCTGGTGCAGGGGAAGCCGAGCGGGGGCCCACCCTGTCCCTCTGTCCTCAGGCCGTGGAGCTGACAACATTCAAGGCCTCAGGTACTGGTCCCCCACCCCTTGGGCCCAAGACCTCTGACCTGGCCCCCAGGGCCAGTTGTCAGAAGCATCCATACTGACCTCCCCCAGCCGAGGGACTGTCCCCTCATGCTGCCGCCCCCAGCTGGCCTGAAAGTCCCCCGTGAGGGTCCTGGGCTATGCCAGGCCCTGCTCAGGGAGAGGACTGAGGTCAGGGAGCCCTGGGGACCCCACTGCCTGCCAGCCTCTTCAACCTGAGTCACACATTCAGGCCCCATCCTGGGGATCAAACCCAGTGCCTGTACACTGGCATTCCCACCCAGGACCCAGAGGCCTGGCTAAGGAGCTCTTGGCAGTGACCTGGGAAACCTGCTGCCCTGCCCCAAAGCAGAAGCCAGGCCAACATGCACAGGTGGGGAAACTGAGGCACGGCTCCAGTTCCATAGGTGTGCGCGCAGGCACAGGGGAACCCACGTCAGGCCCGGGCTCCTCTTTAGCAAGATGGGCCAGGCGCCCCCTGTAGGCCAGTCGGGTGAACCGAGGGGTACCCCACCCCCTACTCCACCCCCGCACCCGCGGGCGCGGCGTCTGCGGGAGGGAACAAGAGCCCCACGGCGCCTCTGCGCTCAAGTGACAGCGCCTTTGTCTCTGCTGAATGGGTGCGTTGCTAGGGCCGCTCCGTAGCAACGGAGCCGCTTCCACCTCGGCCCCACCCTTCGGACCCCAGCCCTAGCCCTGGCCTCAGCCTCGCAATGCTGCCGGCTTCCGCCCCCACACACACACTCCGGGCCCGGGGGGGGGGGGGGGCTGCCCGACGTGTGTCCCTCACGGTGCCGCCACGCTCCTCCTAAAAGCCCAAGGAACCCTGGGGTTGTGCGCTGGCCTTAGATGGAGAAACGGAGGCTCCGAGGGGCCCTGAGGGGTGTCAGCCAGGGTGACGGAAGCCAGGCTTCCCACCCAGGGTCTCCCCCAACCCCCACCCCGTCTGGGGCTGCGAGGTCCTGGCAGCCACTCAAAGAACTGCCCCCCCACCCCAGGTATCTAGCTCAGCCGGCCTGGGGACCTCATCCCCGAATCCCGACCTGGATGTGAGGCGCATCTGGCTGTCCCAAGTGAGGACAGCAGCCAGCACCAGCCGCTGCAGCCTCACCTGGGGGTGTGGCCCCGCCCCGGGGCTTCCCCCATCCCCCATCCCCCTCTCGTCTGCAGCTTGTCCCCCACCTTGCCCCATGCTCTGCAGTGTCTGATAATAAACGGTGCAGTTGAGGCTCTGCGGTCTGTGTCTGGGGTCCTTCTAGCCTGGGAGGGGACAGAGACACCAGGCTCCCTGGGGTGTGTGGGTAGAAGCAGCCACTTTGGCTTTGGGACCCAGCCTGGTCACCATGGTGGGTCCCTGGCACTGGTGTCCCCAAGCCCTTTATCACCTTAGGGCTGGGAGTCAGCCAAGACCACCACTCCCCTCCGGTGCAGAAGAGGGGTACAGTTCCATTCCTCAGACCTGGGGTCCCCCAAGCCACACAGCACAGGGGTGGCAGAGAAGGGAGCAGACAGCTCCCAAGTGACAGCAGAGGGCCAGGCCCAAACGCTGTGCGGCCACCAGTGAGATTCTTCCCCGAGTCTCAGGGCCCTCCGGGTCAGCAAGTAGAGAGGCTCAGGATGCCTCGGGCTCAGCACCGAGCTTAATGCTGGCCTGGCCCAAGGCAGGGCCAGGCAGCAAGGAGCCTGGGGCCTCCAACTCTGGCAGAGCCCAGGGCCGAGGCTGGAGGTGGGGTGTGGATGAGGCAGAGGAGGACTGTGTGAGAAGTACCGAGACCCTGAACCCCTCCTGGTGGGTCTGAGACGAAACCTATCGGGAGGCTGAGTCCCCTGTCTTGCCCCAAACAATTCTAAGGACTGCTGACAGGATTCAGAGACACCCTTCTTTGTTCTGTACCCTTCCACTGCCCTCTTCACTCTCGAAACACTGCCCGCTGACCTCCTTCCATCCCTTTGCTCTCACACTGTTCTTTCTGCCTGGACTACCCCAACCTCTCTTCAGCTGGTGAACTCCTAGGCATCCTTCAAAACCCAATTTTGGTGGCAGTTCAGCTATAAAACCTTCCTGCCCTTTCTCCTGTCTCCCCAGGAATAGAACTGATCACTTCCTCATTTTATCTTGCTCAGTTCCATCACACTGGATTATAATCTGATCAAGAGTCTCCACTTACAAGATTGGACAGTGCCCTGGGGCAGGAACTAGGGTCCCTGCTTTGGTTCTGCAGGTGCCAAGGAGAGGGTCACCTTTTTCCTTCCATAGTAGTCACTGCTACCTCTCCCCAGGGGAGATGACTTCTCATTTGCATGGAAGTCCTGCGAGGACCAGGAGTGGCCCTGCAGTTGGTAAAGTGGATCAGGACAATGGAGTTGTGCATGCTGGGTAGCTGTATCCCTCAGCTGTGTGGCCTGGGATGGGCCACTCACTCCTCAATGCCTCAGTTTCCTCATCTGCCATCTGGGGCTGCCACCTCCAGAAGAGGTTTTGAAGACAGGTGGCACAGCAGGACAGAGGCAAGGCGCCAGCCTGGGTGCCTGGGACAAAGCAAGCATCTTCAACGTCGCCCCGTTCGCTGCTGCCACCTAGCACACCTGGGTGGAGGCAAGGAGTCAGCCAGGGTGGTAACCAAGGGCTGAGAGGAGGAACCAACTTGGGCCCTGTCCCCCAGGTCCCTTGGCAGACACCTTTCCCTTCTAGATCAGAATCCGAGACTCCAGGGACACTAGGGACAGTGAGGCAAGGGAGGGCACACGGTAGGTGCTCACTAAACCTCTCCTTTCTACCCAAGATGGGGGACCTGGCACTGCCAGGGTGGAACTAAGGCTGGGACCCCAGGGGCCCAACCCCCCGGTGCCTGGTGTCCCCTCACCTTGGCACCTACAACCCATCCTGCCTCCCCAGAATTGGGAACCAAAGGTTGTCTTCATGTCAACCCCAACCCAGCCCCCAAAATCCGCCGAGGGGCTTCTGCTTTGGCCCCAGAGTGCACATCAGCAAAGGGAGCTGGAAACTAATTGCAAAATTTATTTGAGGGCTTCAGGGGCTGGGGAGATTTGTAAGGGCACTTCTTGTTTCAGGGCTGTGGGTCTCTGGCCTTGGCAGGGGCATGCATTTTTGGGGGGCTGAGGTGGGGGCTGAGATAGGGTGGCAGAAAGCAGGGGCGGGGACGCCCAGCCTCACCCAACCTGGCAGGCTCACCACAAGCTGCAACAGTGACGCAAAAGCAGGGTGGACAGCGGGAGAGGTCAGGGCACTGAGGCCAGCTTCCAGGGTTGCAGCCAGGGACCTCTGGGACAGGGCCACAAGGGAGAGCTCCTCAGCACTGGCCTGATCCAGGGACCTATGTGCCCTCCTGGGTTTAGCCATTTTCCACCCACAAGACTCTGATCCCCCATGGGCCCCAGTGATTCACCCAGTGCCACGGAGGACATAAACAGGTCTTCTCTTGATTGCAGCAGGGTGCTCAGAAAAATCAACCAGCTCCCCGCCCCCAACAGCCCAGGATACTGGGGACCAGAGCCTGGGAAGAAGCCTGGACCTGTACTTGGTGCTAGCCACCAGGTCCTGCTCAGTCCTCAAATCTGTCCCTGCCCTCCAGCACACACAGGCCTCTCCAGGAGTGTCTAGGAGACGGAAACAAAGAAAAAGGCAAAACCCTCTCGGCTACACCCTTGCAGATTAGTCCCAGCCTGGCTGGCCAGGTGTGGGCGGGCGAGATGTGGACTGTACCAAACTCCTCCTGGGCAAGGCAGAAGGAGGGGAGAGAAGGCAGTCATAGCAAAATCCTGGATCAGAGCCTCCCCTGCAGAAGTGAGATGGGTTGAGGCCTGGAGGGAGGTATTCTGGCCCTCAAGTGTCCAGGTTTCTCTAGGGCCAACAGCCCCAGCCCAATTTAGCAAACCCACTTATCTCTAGTGTACAAAATAGAGGGCGTCCCTCCCCTCTGCGGGGTTCTGCAGACCCCCTCTCCTTCCCCCACTGATGCCCACTCAACCTCCTCCGCTTCTGATTCCAGGACAAGGCGGAGGGAGGACATGAAGGGCCCCCAGGGAATCCCAGACTTCCTCCCCCAACCTGGAGCTTTGGACTCCAGGGTGGAAGCTGGGAGCAGGGGAAGGAGGTGGTTGGCAGCCGCCTCCTTGGGGCACTCTGGGTGGCAGGCAAGTGCCAGTGGCAGGTGAGGGCCACCCCCTAAGCCAGGCCCTGCCTGTCCCATGAGCAGCTCCTAGCTCAGGCTGGTGCCTCCCCTCCAGCCGCTCAGGTCTGCTTGGCCTGCAGCATCTCAATGAGCAGGTTGTTGCGCGGCATCTCATTGCCCAGGTGCTTGTGGTACAGGTACTCCTTGGCCTGCACGCTCAGGGCCCGCACCTCCACCAGGCACAGCAGCAGCTGCTGGAACTTGTCCCCACAGTGCGGGTAGTGGCACAGCGTGTAGTCCAGCAGGGCCGCATTCGCCTTCTCCTGGGCATCCTTCACCAGGCTATGGTTGTTCAGGAACTTCACATCTGCAGAGGGAGGTGCTCCGTCACCCTCTGGTCACCATCCCTGTCAGGTTGGGCCCACACTGAAACTGGCACCACCACCACTCCCTTCCCTGAAACCACCAAAGCCCAGGACATCCTGGCCACAGGTCCCTCATCACTGTCTTGCCATCACCAGGGTGTCACCATGGCTGAGACACTGCCACCATCACTGTCACCCAAACAGACATCCTTGTGTCTTCCACTAACATGGGCACTGGTGCCGTCTACAGCCAAACCACTGTCACTGCTACAGCCGTGATGGTGGCAGTGGACACTCGTCATCCCCCAGGACCAGCGCCAGCCCCGCCGGGTGTATGTCAGGGGATGTGCTTTGAACCACTCAGTTGGTTTCTCATCTGGAATGGGGTGACAATAGTCCCTGCAAGGCTGTCCTGCAGAGGCCAAGCATCGGCTCAGGGGGACACTCAGGAGGACAGGCTGTGACGCACAGGACATGAAGTGTTATCACACTGCTCCTCTCTCACTACAGCTGTGGTCATGGCCGGTACCGCTGTTGCAACCAAAGCCACCCTGTCACCATCATCACCATGGTCACTACCACCCTGCCTGTCTGCACTGTCACCCCATCGCTGCCACGAGGAGAGAGCAGGACCCCGGGAGCGGTTGCCCCAGCACTCTGGGTTCCCCGGGGACCCAGCAAGAGCTCAGCACCCCAAGGAGCCCCTTCTCAGGCCATGGAGAACACAGTGTCCGCCACAGCAGGGCTTACGGTGCTGAGGGCATGGCCTGAGCTACGTGGAGAAGACGAGGCCTAAGCTGAGCTGCAGAAGGCAGGCCGGAGGGAAGTGACACGAGTGCATGAGTTCTTCAGTAACTGGGTTCAGAGGCTCCGCTTAGGAGCTGGGTGCTGGCCTGGCATGGGGAGGGCCTGGGTTCCATCCCCAGGACCATGAAAAATAAAGTTTAAATATAAAAAGCTGGTACTCGAGGCAGATCATTATGGAAGATCCTGGCAGACCTGAAAGAACGGCGGTGCGTGGCCCAGTGACCACTCCTGCCACAGATGGAGGGGCACAAGGGGCTCATCCCTGCACCTGAGTCCACTCAAGACCCAAAAAGGGAGGCGGGTGTATCCTACCACCCGGGGGCTGAGGCAGGAGGACTAGCGGGAGTAGGAGGCCAACCTGCACTACATAGTGAGTTCCAGGTCAGCCTGAACTACACAAGGAGACCCTGCCCCAAAACACAAACAGGAAGGACCAGGGATTTAGCTCAGGGGTTTCGCCGCCTGCTGCGCAAGCTCAAGGACCTGAGTTCGATCCCCGGTACCAAAAAAAAAAAAACACACAAAAGACCCAAGTACCTTTGGGGTGAAACCACCACACCGATGGGGGTCCAAATTCCAACCAAGGCTGAGGAGCAGTGACCCTGCTCAGCCCCGCCTGACTACAAAGCCTTCCTCCTCCAGGAGGAGGGGTAGAGGTGCAGAGCAGGGAAGTTTCCCGTCGCCCAAGTTCTTGTCCCACCTTGCAGGCCCCCAACACTAGACCTCGTTTCCCACTGATGCCCTGCCCGGCAGGAACCCAGCACGTCCCTGTGCCCAGTCCCAGCCTGGCCTCCTGGGGATGGGGCTTCTAAGGGCTCAGAAAGTGGTTACCTGTCCCGCTCCCTCCACCCTCAGCCTGCCCTGCTGCTGTGGCGGGCGGGGGGGGGGGTGTGTGGGGTGGGCTAATCCCTCCTAACACCCACTGCGCCAGGAAAGCTTGGCACCCTGGCAACCCTGATCCCTGGCCGCCCCCAGTGCGCCCTCTGAGGCCTGTGTTGTCCAAAGTTGGATTTAGGGAAACCCGAGCTGGGCCCTGGTCATATGGCGGGATCCTCCGCCTCCTCCCCAGGCCTGCTCACCCTCCCTTAAGTAAGGGAGCCAGGATCATCTTCCTCTTCACCTCTCCAGGGTCACCAGGAGCCCATAAGGCACCTTTGTACCAATCAGAAAGCATTTCCTCCTTGTCTACAGAGATACAGCTAGATTTCAGCCCCCAGCCCTCCCCTGCCTCGATGCCCTTGTGCAGTGAACAGTCCACTCAACTGTACGTGGCAGCCCTACTCCCTTGGCTGGCCAGCTCCAGGCACATTCAAAGGGAACTCTTGGAAAGGTACCTCACCTCGCTGGGCTCCTAGAAGCAAGAGGTGCCTATTGGTCCCATCCCACTCCCAACCTCTCCACATCCCAATCCTGTCTCTTCTGCCCTCATTTCCCACAATCCCTGGGGCAAGGCAAGTGTCCTAACACTGTTCTCCTGACAATTCACCATGGAAGACCAGAGAAGGACAGGGATCAGCTCAAGGCCACACAGCAGTAGAGGGGCCAAGAGGGAGAGCGGGGGTGGGAGGACTGGCTAGAAGCTGCAGTAGGGCAGGAGCGGGTGGGGCTGGGGAGGACCAGGGCCTCGGCTTTACCAGGATTTACTGTTCCCAGCAGCCGTGTGCAGGGGCGGCGGGTGGGGCACAGGGGGTGCAGGACAAGGACAGTTTCAGGGACAGATTCCCCCAGCAGCCCTCTGCTCTCGGCTCCCCGAAGACTGAGACCCTCATGGCCCCCATGAAGTCAGCTACAGGTTGGGGGTGTGGGCACAGTCCCGGTGGCTTCCATCCCTTGTACCCCATCAGTTAGTCCCCCCAGATCTGGGTAGCTGAGAGGCACCCTGGAGGCTAGGAGGGCGACAGCAGGCCTGAGCCACCCAGAGGAGTCCAGCCTAGATTCAAACCCACGTCTCCCCAGTTTCAGAGCCTGAACCCATCACAGTGGGCAAACAGGGCTGGGCTGGGATGGGGATGGGGCCTGCTTTCCATTCCATCCGACGAACACCTGGGGTCCCAGTCCCCCCAGAGAGGCTGCTCTGGGCTTTGGACTCCATGTCCCCCTCACCTTGAGACTCTGATGAGTCATGATGTGTTGTGCAGATTCTAAGGGACAGGGACGTCCCAGACGTCAGGTGCCCTTCTCTCCTTAGAGACAGGGCAGGGCTCACAAAAACCTGGAGACACCCTCTCAGTGCACCAAGGGTTCCAGTCCCAGCTCTACCAGCTGGGTGGCCCAATATGCCACTTCCCCTCTCTGCTGCCTCAGTTTCCTGTCATCTGCAAAATGGGGACAAATGAACCTGTGCCCCATACAGCAGCTGAGAACTGGACCCGGCCTGTGGGCCCAGGTCTGGGCTCCGAGCGCTGCGGGGTGGGAGTGCACAGTGGAGCCGCCTGTGTCCCCAGCCTGCTCAGTGCCCCAAGTCCTGGAGGTGGGCAGCGGGAGGCGGGAGGGGCCGGGCGGTGGCACCCCCACCTGGGGAGCCGCCCGCGCTGCAGAGCTCTGGGGCCCCCAGGATCTCAGAAAAGCCCCCTTTTCACGGTTTAATTGAATATTTGAATAATCCTTTCATTCCAGCGAGGCATAAAGAATGTTGTCCCAATAGCGGTGACTCAGGCAGGCGCCCCCGCATACAATGGCCCCTCGAGTGCCGCTGCTATTGAGGCCGCCTTTTGTTGGCGGGGAGCAGTGGGTAAATTGCAAACGCTTAAGGGAATGCTGCCGCGGCGCCTCAATGGAAATCAGGAAATCGAATGTTAGGTCAATCCATTAAGCTTCGATTAAGTCCTCGGGGGAACAATGCCCGCCAGGCCCATCTTCATAAATACCGTGATTGCCAGGAGAGAGGCACTAATTTTAATTAAACCTCCTTACCTGCCTCCAAGCCCACCGAGACAGCTATTTAGACGCCAAATGGCACCCTTCTGCAGAAGCGGAGGAGGAGGAGGAGGAGGAGGAGGAGGAGGAACAGGAGGAGCAGGAGCAGGAGCAGGAGCAGGAGCAGGAGCAGCAGGAGCAGCAGGAGCAGCAGCAGCAGCAGCGCACCAGGGTGGCGGTGGGATGGGTGGGTGACAGCATGCAGCGAGCAGGTTCGGGCTGCCCAAGCCTGGGAGGTGCTGCCTGCCCGAGGTGGCACCTGGCCTGCCACCTCGAGGTCCCAGGCAAGTGGCCATCCCTCTCTGGGTCCCTGAGGCCCGGCTCCTGTGGCCCTGGTGGGTTCATGGGAGGAGCCTCTGTTCTAGACTCCAGGTATCCTTGTCACCCCAGGACTGGCTTCTTGCAGGGCCCCTGCCACCCTCCTGCAGTGCTTTACCCACGCCACAGCCACAGTCTGAAGGGCTTTGATAAAATGCAAATCAGATCCTGTTGCTCCAGCTTCCATCCATCCCGAGGCAGGTTCAAGGAACTTGGCCTGGTGTTCAAGGCCTGACACAGCTCGGCCCCATCCACCTCCACCCCCACCAGCCGCACTGAACTCTCAGGATTCCCCAGAACCTTGCGCAAGCTGTGCCTCCAATCTGGTTCAAGCAGCCTTTAAAGCTGCTGCTGGCTTTGTTTTACCCAGAACACTTCTACTCATCCTGCAACACCCAGCTCAGACACACCTCATCTGAGAAGCCCTCCTGGATGGCCTAGGTGGAGTTGGCCCCACACTCATCCTCCTGGCCTGTTTAGATCCCCTCCCAACCTGGAACCTGGCACCCAAAGCCCTCTGGGCCAGGACCTCCTCTCTCAAGGTGCAAGTGGCTCCAGGGCCCCTGACAGCCCAGGGTCACCAGATCTCTGGACTGCCCAGACGGGCGGGCCCTCGTCCCTGTGCGGAACACACAGCACGGGATAAAGATGGAGCCGAGAGGGAGCTGCCTTATTCACTAATGGTTCATGCGACTGTCAGCTTAATAAGGATGATTATGCTAACTACACTGGCACATACTACAGAGAGAACTCTCTCACTGCCCCCTTTTCAGCGAGGTAACAGCCACTAGGGAGGTCATTTTGCAGATAGGGAAGTAGAGGCAGGGCAGGGCAGGTTTTCTCAAGGGCACCAAGGCAGAGAGAGCAGAGTCAGAATCTAGGAGGTCATCCCGGGGCCTGCCCTTGCCCTGAGCACACACGCATGCAGAGGAGAGCCACTGAGGGCCAGGGAGTCCCGAGGGGCCACCAGCTCTGGGCTGGGCCTGTCACTCCCTAGGGCCAGGGGGTTGGCGGAAGAGGGGCTGGGCTCTTCAGACAGCACCCAAGCCTAGATGGGGCCCTCTCCCACCACCTGCCCCCAGACCGCTCCAGGGGCCCTTGACAGAGACAGGTCAGAACTATTGCCTAAGCCAAGCGTGGAGCCCATGCCTGTAATCCCAGCACCGTGGGAACCTGAGGCAGGAGGATGGCAAGTTCCAACACTGCTTGGGCAGTTTAGTAACTTAGAGAGACCCAGTCTCAAAACTAAAAAAAAAAATTGAAGAGCCAGGATATAGCTCAGTGTAATGGCTCTGGGTTCCATCCCCAGTATCAGAAAAAAACAAAAACAAAAAACCAACCTATCACCCAGGGCCCCAGATCCCACACCCAAATCCCATGCCCCTCCAAGCACCACCCCACACCTCTAAATCCCATACCCCCAACGCCCATCACTGCTCACTCACACTGATTCTTCGCATGATGTGACCCACAACAACCCAGCGTGCGCGCCCAGCACGTGTACATGCGTGGAATAAACGTACACACACAAGCCTGCAGTCCCCAAGCCCCAGCCCACGAGGACCCCAGCCACAGCCTGCAGCCCTGGCCTGTGTGGGGTTCAGAGCCCACAGCTCGGGACACGTGGGCCAGGTAGGAAGCCTCCCGGCCCCCAGCCTGCCAGGGCCCTGAAAAGCTCTTCCTGAGTGGCCGACGAGCTCTGGCCCTCCCCACAGTGGCTGTGCTCTGCCACCCCGGTGGGGCCCTGCGGGTGTCAAAAGGCAGCCATCCTGCTAGTCGGGAGACCCACCCACTGTACCCAGCCACATGGCCACGCTGGGCTCCCCAGTCCCCCCGCACTGGACTCCCAAATTCCACTCATCAACTCCTTTCTCTCCTTCCCAGCCCCTCGTACTCCCCACTCTCTGGTAGGCACCCCCTTGCCAGACTGTGGCTACAATGCCACTGCCACAAAGACAACATCTCAATGCCGCCCCTCCCCAGGTGAGAAGCACTCCTCTCCTCTGCTCCAACATTCCATCCCATCACTCTCCTCTGCTCTGCTACAAGATTTCATCCACCCAGAGAATTCCTACATATCCTGAAAGACCCTGCTCAAAAAGCCCTCTTCTAAGAAGCCTTCCAAGCAAAGCCTTGCTCCCCACTCTAATTCCCCAAGCCACACCCATTTCCTTAATACCAGCCCTAGGCACGGGATGCTGGTCTTCCCCAGACTGGAGCACCTGGAAGCAAGGAACACCCCAGGTGCACAGTGTCAGTGGGCGTAGGGACAGCACTGGCAATGGTTTTCTGGGTGCTGAGAGACTAGAGGGAGCCTGGAGACTTGGGGTACAGGCCGGGATGGAAGCAGAAGGGCATGGGGAGGAACAGCAGGTGGGCTGGACTCGCCTTCTCGTGGTGCCCTGCTTGCTTTTCCTTCTCCCCCCTGGGCACGCTCTTCCTAACCATATCTTTCACTAATCCCTGAACATCCCTATGCACATGACGCTGTCGTCTCCTTCCCTAGAGTCAGCTCTGAGACGCAGGGAGCTGGGGTCTTTTTGTTCAGTGTCTTCCCCAGGGCCTTGCATGGTGCGGATCCTCACAAATGTTTGCAGGATGAATGAATGAATGAATGGGCAAAGGGGTCTGGGCCCCAAAGAGCTGAGAATCAGAAGGTGGGTCCCTGTGGATCAAAGGATGAGGAAAAGCAGGGCCTGAAGGCGGGAGCTGGGAAGCGAAAGCAAGCTCTGCAGGTAGCAGGCATGATCTGGGGTGGATTCTCAGGAGCGCTCCTCGTCCCACACAGGGCAAGTCTCAGATGGTGTCCAGACCCTGGGGGCCGCCACACCAAGGCACTGAGCTCTGGCAGGCAGCAGCCCTCACACCCTGCTCACTGCCCACCCCTGGCGCGAGCCCACTCACCAAGGCTGAGGAGGATGAGGAACTTGAGGCAGACGAACTCCTGACGGTCCAGCTGCAGCACGTGCAGCTGCAGGACCAGCTCCTGGGCCCGCAGCACCAGGCTGTGCAGCAGTGAGCCGGCCTGGGCGGCCACCGTGCTCAACTCCACCTGGACAGCAAGAGGGCGCGGGTCAGGGGGCCTGGGTGCCAGGAGAGAGTCTCGAGCCAAAGGTACAGGCAGGAAGTGCCGATCAGGGCCCCCAAATCCATGTGCCCAGAGCCCTGCAGCCCGTTCAGGCCGCCCCTGCTAAGGGCCCTTCCTGGCCCTAGCCATGGATGACAGCAGGCGACACCGGGCAGGTGGGCACTCAACCGGACAGCAGGCTGCTGTGCAGCTGCTGGCAGTGAGAGCTATGTCCAGCTGGGGAACGGGGTGTGGTCGTACATTTACCCTACACACTGGATCACAACACCTGGTCGTGTGAGCTCATACTCACACGCCAGACATGTCCACAGGGCTGTCACTGCTCCATGCAGAGAAGGCACACATAACTGTGCACACCCACCCTGCCTGCCCTCGGACAGTCACTCGGCAACACGGACACACACCTATGTGTATATGCAGACTTATGTGGTGACACCCACACACCTGTGTGTGTGAAGAGATCTGCACAATAAAATACAGGTGTGTGGATGCACAGGACATCTATGTGGCCATGGGGCTTTGATCCATGCATGGACACTCATCTCAGACACTCTGCACTGGCACTTGAAAGTGCCCCAAAGTTACTCTCAGGACCAATGTCCCTGTCCCCTGGCCCCTATGTCCTGATCTATCTGGGTGAGAGGTGACAATGGGAACGGGGGGGACAGGGAAGAGAGCTTCTGTCTCCTGCCACCAAGGTAGACCCTGATGTCTACCACCTCCCTCCCCTCCCTCTCTCTTTCCCCTGCATATCCACTTGCCAGTTGGGGGCCCTTCCTTATAGGTATTCCTCCCAGCCCCCCATTCTGAGCCAAGGCTTCCCCCACTTCTCATCCTGGCGCCTCCTCCTGCCTCCTCCTGTGGCTCCCACCTCTGTTCCTCCATATCCCTGCCCTAAGTGACCCAGATTCCCATTCTGAGCTCTGGGGAGTCTCCTGTGCATTCATTCACTCATTTGTTCATTCACTCATTCAAGCAATCAAGAGCTAGAAGCTGCAAGGTCTTGGCTGCTAACCCCAGCCAGCCCTGCAGCCTCATCTTTTACCTTACCCCACTCCTGGGCCCCAGCAGCAATTCGGAACCCCCTCTCAGAGCCTTGGCCCTGCTGTTCCCACCGTGTGTCACCTCTGATTAGCCTACCAAGTCTGGTTTTAGTTTGGATCCATTCTTAGGAGACACAGGGCCACCCAATAGCCTCCCCAATCAGCCCACACCCCAGGACGCCCTCCAGGCCAGGGTTGGGCCCACAGAACTTTTGCCTGTGGATGTCTCCTGAGCTCAGGGAATTCGGGACACCGGAAGCCAGCCCTGGAGGGGCTCGGAACAGCATCAGAGCTGGGAATTCTGGGAGCAGGGTCGGTCACCTCCTGTCCGGTGACCAGCAGGATGCTGCCCTCTTTGCCGTACTGGACCTGGCGGTAGATGTGGTCAAACACCAGCAGCTCACTCCAGCAGTTCTGTAGCAGGGTCATCTGGTCGGCCACCTGTGGGGAGGAGCCACGCAGGGTCAGCTGGGGACCGTCCTCCTCCTCCCCTAGTGCTCCATTCAGAGACAGCTGGGTGTGCAACCCAGGCAAGTGACTGCCCCTCTGTGCCCTGTCTGCCTTGAGAAAGAAGGACAAGGGCACTAGAGGTGCTTGGGGCTTGACATGCCTGGCCTCAGCCCAGCCCTGCCCCTCCCAAGGTGTGTGGCCTCAAACAAGTCCGCAACCTCCCTGCACCTCAGCACTCTCATCCAGAAAGCGGGCCAAGTGCTCATTCTTAAGCACTCAGGAAATGTGAGTGGCTCATGTCCCCAGGAGTACCATGGAAAGGCGATTATTCACTTTAATGTGGTGCCCATTTGGTCTGGGGTCACAACTCTGGCAGCCACAACCACTCCAAAGGAGCCATGGTGGGCCGGGAATTTAGCTCAGTGGTTCTGCCGTGTGCCTCAAAGGCGCAAGGTCTCAAGTTTGATCCCCGGTACCAAAAAAAAGGAGCGATGGGTTGGGGGCACACATGTGGAGATTTCAGGCCCAGAAAAGACGGGAGGGCCTGCCTGGCCCATGGGCATAACAGGAGTGCGTGGCAGAGGACAGTGGCTGACAACTGAAGCAGGAACAGGATGGTGACAAGGGGTAGATTCTGAAGATCCAGGCTACAGAGGACACCCAGGGGTGGGGACAGCCCCTGTGTGGGTGTCCTTGGGCCCTGTGGGGTCACTGCATGCTAGCATAACCAGGGTGGACATCTTTTTCTTTTTTTTGAGGCAGGATCTCACTATGTAGCCCACACCTGCCTCAAACTGAGGGCAACTGTCCTGCCTCGGCCTCCTGAGTGCCGGCATTACAAATGTGTATCACCATGCCCAACAAGGGTAGACATTCATGACAATAGCAAATTCTCCCCAGAACCACAGAGAGCCAGGCACTCCTTACCTGAGCCCTTCCTTTTCAGATGAAGAATGTGCCACCCAGAGAGGGCCAGTGACTCTTCGGCAGAGCCAGGCCAGGGTTCATGGCTGGCGTTGCAGGTTCACAACCTCCAGGGACAAACTAAGCCTTTCTGGGTGTTCAGAAGAACCCTGGACTCACGAGTCCTCCTCGGAAGGTGCAGGGCAGATGTGACCCCTCTCAGCACCCACAGTCATGGCCAACCCCGTGGTGAAGGCAAACAGTTGCTGCACTGTAGCCCCACAACCCTACAGGATTGGTTCAGTTACTGGTCACTTTATAGAGAGAAGAAACGGAGCACAGAGAGGCCAAGGAAACTCCCTAAGGTCACAAAGCTTTGTCTGGCTCCAGATCCCTGCTCTTTACCACTAGGAGTGGAAAAAATGACCCGGCCTGCCCTTCCAGTCCTGCAGGAGTAGGCCCATCACCTCCTCCAGGAAGCCCCCCAGGAGGCCCAGCAGTGGGGCAGCCCCAGGCTCCCTGGGAGCCTGGCCCAGGCCTTGAAAATGCTCTCTTCCAGTGGACAGACTGCCCTCTGGCCGTTGGATCCTGTGTCTGGGAGAAGCAAGAAAGTGAGGGAGAAGCCAGGGATTTAGCTCAGTGGTTCCGCCACCTGCCCTGCAAGCACAAGGGCCCAAGTTCGATCCCCGGTACCAAAACAAACAAAAAAAAGTTAATGAGAAAGTGAGGGAGAGAAAAGTGAGCAGCTGAACCTACTATTGGGGTCTGCCTGCTTCAGCCTACACTCCCCGGCCGTTTGAGAGCAGAGGGAAGGTGGGTGTCTCTCCCATCACCCTGCCTCACTGCCATCTCTCCCTTGCCAAAGCCCCACAGAAATGCAGAAACCCAGCCAGGGACCAGGCTGGGCCCCAACTGGCCTCACCTCCCCCACCCCATGCAACTGAGGCAGGAGCCTCCACATGAGGAAGGAGGCCGGGCACAGAGCACCTATCCTTGGAAGATCTGGGCCCTCCCCTAGCGACATTGTGCCTCCACACACTTACTGCTCACCTAAGATGACATGCAGCTAGATGTCCCATCTTGGGGGACCCTGGGGCCCAGGTGGCAGGCACCTGCCCTGGGGCTCAGTGTGGACAAGGCAAACTCAGGCCCACCTTTGCGACCCACACGGAGGCCACACGGGGCTGGGCTCTGCCCCTCACCCACGGTGAGCTGGAAGCAGACACCCTTGCGCCCAGATTGGAGGAAGGGGTGGGAGAGAAGAGATAAGGGGAATTAGGAGATAAGCAGGCTGAGTTTAGGCAGAAGCAGAGGGGTCACAGTGACCCAGCTGGCCCAGCCCTGGGAGCAGACACTGTCCCAGACCTCAGGGGCTGATGGGCCAACCAGGGCAGAGAACTGCAGGGCAGTGCCTGAGCTTGGACACCATGCCCTGTGTAAGCCCCTAACTGGCCCTCATTTCCTGCTCTGCAAAGTGGGAGAGCCTATTCCTCCCTCTCTGGGTGATAGAAAACACACAGACACATGTTGCCGGTCAACAAGGGTTCTCTGGACCTATGGTCAGCTCTCCTAGGGACACTGCCCCAACCGTTAGGCAAGCAAACTTTCCTGCCAGAGTTAAACTGCTTCTGGGATGGACAGGTGGGCACATAGATTCTGAAAATGACGACCATTGTATGCACATGCGTGTACACAAACACACACAATCTTTTTTTTGGTACCAGGGATGGAACTCAGGTCCTTGCACTTGTGCAGCAGGCGGAGAAACCATTGAGCTAAATCCTTGGCCCAACAATCTTTTTATGTAAAAGAAACCCAGAAGGCTGTAACTGCTGGCCATCTCCACAGGAAAGCAGGTAACCAAGAGCCCTGCTGAACTCCAGAGGACTAGTCTCTTCCTCCTAACATTTCTCCCTAATCTCCAGGTTCTCCTCCCTCCCCTCAGGTCCCCTGCCACACTGGGAGCAAGAACATTCTCAGTCTGGGCCCTAGGGTCCCTCACCAGCCTGGCCCACCCCTCCCGCAGGACGGTCACAAATCTCCCCGGGCCTTGACTCCGTAGCCTGCCTCAGGCAGAGGTATTTATGGGTGCCACACTGACCTCTCCTCCAGCCCTGACCGGAGCCCCTGGGGTTCATCCATCTGGCAGCTGAAGGCCAAGGGCTCGGTAATTCTCCAGTGGCTGACATGCCACGGGCTGGCCATGGCAGTCCCTGGGTGAGCGTTGTGGGGCTGTCATTTGTCAGCCCAGGACTGACAGAGTTATTGTGGCTTAAAGAAGACCATGGAGCTGGAGAATTAGATCAGTCACCAGCAGGGGACACAGAGGGTGAGCAATGTCAAGATGGGTCATTAGGCACCATGCCGCCCGGGCGATCTTGTCCTGCCTCCTCCTGGTCTGTGCTTTCCAAAACTGTCCAGAGAGTTGATGACCCCGGCCCCGGCCCCTGCCATGCTGAGCAGCAGGGAAAGGTGGGTTTCTGCATATTGCTTTAGGATCCTACGGGGATGCCGGCCCAGGTTTATAGGTGCTCAGGGAGACGTGGACACTGGGCACCTCTGCCTGCTCTCTTCCCAGCCAGGCCTGGACAAGCCTGCAGGTGTGCACTGAAGAGCATGGTGCGCAGGGGATAGGAGGACAGGAGCCACAGACCACCGGTGGGCCTTCCCAGGAGCCCTGTGCTGTTCCTCACCCATCCTAGCTCACTAAACCCTCACAACAACCCCAGGAGTGAACATTACTTAAACTCTCCCTGTTTTGTACATGAGGAAACCGAGGCCCAGAGGCGCAAAGTCACATGCTACTAAGTAACAGAGGTGGAACCTGACACCAGGTCTCTCTGATTCTGGTCTTTAGTGTTCACTTCTGTGCTGTGGTCACAGAACTCCCTCTGACTGTGGGAGGTGGGGACACAGAGACAGAGGGACAGCTGACCAGGCTGGGGAAGAGGACAGAGGAGGGATAGGCCTCAGTGGAACCTGGGGCTGAGGTCAGACACATCTCTAAATGCCCAGCTGAGGCCCCAGCCTCCCCTCCCGAGTGGTAAGACATCACGGGTGCCACAGAGGGCCGGGTGGGCCTCTGCAGGAAGCTCAGGTCCCGGCCTGGCATAAGGCCTTCTGCCCAGAGCCCACTCCTGCTCCATGCTCTGCCTTGACCCCACAGACCTCTCCAGTCTGCCTTGCAGGGCCACCATTTCTGGCCCCCACTTGTGCTTTTCCCACTGCCCAGAATGCCCTTAATCTTCTTTCAATGCCACTGGCTCCCTCTGTCCCCTTCCATTGGTCTCAGAGCCTGGGTACCCTGCACTGACTTCACCTTGCATGTCTGTCTTCTGCTCTAGCCTGGCAGCTTCCTGGGTCCCCAGTGTCCCCAGCACCCACCTAGGGGCTGCCCTGTGCGAGCCAGAGAGCCTCTCTTCTGTCTGCTGAAACCCAGCTGGAGGAGGGGACTCTGATGGTGGGCCCAAGTGGAGAACAGTGCCACCCAGCGTCCTCCCGCCTTTTTGGACTCTCCCTGTGGGCTCTGCAAGCAGATACTAGCCCAAGGCCCACTGAGCCAGTGGGAAAAAATGTCCACATGGCCGCAAGAGTTACTGCAGGGGCTGGGTTGGTGTTTATCTTCAAGGCTCTTTTACCAAGGTGGAGACCACGGGTCATAGGCCTGGGCTCCATGCAGGAGAGGTTCTGGGAAGGGGAAGCAGGAAGGTTTGGGCCACAGAGAAGCCAGAAGCAGGAAAAAACACTCAGCAAAGCTGGGACAAAAGCCCTTCCCATCCTGCGTGAAACCCCCAGATACCAGGAAGGTGGCCAGAGGAAGTGCCCTGCCTCTGCATCCAGGGTCTGGAGGCTGGGAATGGCCTGTTGCTCCTCCCCTTTGCACAAGGCTTCCATGGGAAGTCAGCAGGGGAAGCTGGCAACCAACCCACTGGCCTTGGGGTCCTCAGCCCAAGTAGGATGGAAGGCAGGGGAGCGTCCAACACCTGCCTTCCGCCCCATCAAGTAAGGTGGGGCAGAAAGGTGAGTGGGAGGGGCCTGGGGTCGAGACACTTGCATCCCCAGGCCTCAGCCATGACAGGCCCTCCCCACTAGAGCTGAAGCCACTACCAATAGTTCTTGGCACCCAGAATCCCCCAGCACCCTCCGGGCCCCTGTGGTGCCCTAGAGCTCAGGGTGTCCGTGCCTCACCTTGCTCCCCTCCCTGCCAACCAGGGCAGGCAGTGCCCCTGTCCCATCCAGTAGTGCACCCAGAGGAAGCCCAGGTCTGGCTGGCATCAGCACCTACAATGCCGCTCAAGGCTGCCGTGGCCCCGGCAGGGAGGGCAACGGGCCCTGCTGTTTATAGAATCCCCGGAATAGCCAGGGCGGCTGACCTGGGAATGGCAATCCTGATAGGCCTGGGCTCATGAGCACTGCCCCAGGCTGGGACAATGGGCCTTGGTCTGGGCTTCAGGGCCCCTGGGAAGGCCTCACAGGGAGCCAGGGCACTGGAGGGGCAGCTCTCAGGTATCTGGACCTATGCTCACTAGACCAGGTGGATGGAAAGTTCTTCCCTGTCTGGCCTCAGTTTCTCCTCCTGCTGTCCTGCTTACTGTAGCCTCAGGCACCTCAACCCCAGAGGAGAAAGGCTTTGAGGTACAGGAGGCTGCTCCATCTGGCCACCCAGCTCCCACTGCACACATATAAGCACATAAACACACATTAGACACATGTGCACTCACTGAAGCAACCACCCTACACCAGAGATGGTGCCAGCCAGTGAGACCTTTCACTCTATCTGGGGAGGCGCAGGGCCACACACATCTCAAATGCAGACACCAAGAGGTCGGTCTCTGACAGCAGAGGCTGGCAGGGATTGGCAGCCTCCCTGAATGGAAGGACAGGATGGGCTGGATCCCCTCCCGACATTAGCCTGGGGTCTTAAGGGGTGAGACAAGATCCAGGTAGTCCTTTCAGGGATTCTAGGGTTTCAGAAAAAAGAGAGATGCCTACAGAAACTCAGACTGGGAGAGAAACAGATTATAGAACCCAAAAGCAAGCCAGCCATGGTGGCACATGCCTCTAACCCCAGCTCTCTGGTAGGATGAGGCAGGAAGATCACAAATTTGAGTCCACCCTGGGCAACTTAGTGAGATCTTGTCTTAAAATAAAAGGGATTGGGGATATAGCTCAGTGCAACCCCCAATACTGAAACAAAACACAACCACACTTGATCTTAGCCAAAAGGCCGAGAAGCAATACAAAACACAACCAGAAGCAGAGGCAAGCAAAGGGGTGGGGAGGAGACAACAAAGAGAGACAGAGGCAGAGATCAAAGAAGCAGAGGAGTGAGGTACAGAGACTCCAGAAACAGAGAAGGAGAGAGACAAGCAGGACTGGCCAGGGCTCAGCAGGGCACGGGGGGGCTTCGAAGGACCAGAAAGGCTCCTTAGCCTGAGGCCAGAGGGCAGGACAGCTCATCCAAGGGGTGGCTGAGGAGGAGTGCAGGCAGCGAGAGGGCACACGTTGCCAGGCAAGCGAGAGGGAGGAGGACTTACCTCCAGCTCCTTGAACACCATGCAGCGGCGCGCCCAGTCCACGATGGAGATGAAGGTCTGGTCTGCCATCCTGCACAGCAGGCTGAAGGGCGCCAGCTGGTCAGGGCGGCCCTTGGCTGGCTCTTGCAGGCAGCCCACGATGCGAGCCCGTACCTGGTCCTCGTCAGGCTCCAGCTGCAGCAGCTGCAGGATGAGCTCGGGCACACTCGGCCCGCTGGAGAAGGGCTCCGGGTAGCCGTAAGGTGGCCCAGGCTGTGGGGGGCTGGCATAGGGCTCCGGGTACTCGGACTTGATGGCACGGCCAGGGAAGGCAGGATAGAGGTAACCAGCCAGTGGCCCGTGGGTGCCAGGCACGGCCATGGGCAACGCTGGGGCTCCAAAGTCGCCTAGTGGCCCAGCAGGTGGACCCGATGCCAGGCCCTTGGGCTCGGGCGCATGCAGGTTGGGGGGGAGCATGTAGTCCGGAGGAGGAGGAGGAGGCTGGGGCACCCCCATTGGGGGGCCTGTCTCCAGCTTGAAGCCATTGGCTCGAATCTGTGCTTTCTTCTGTTGCTTCAGTGCCCTGTCGCGCTTGTACATGGGCCCAAACTTGTTCCGGCCACCCCGCATGCGGTCAGCACGCACGGCTGTGGGCAGGAGCAGAGGGTCAGGCTTACCTTCCACATTGCCCTGCCATAGATCTTCCCAAACAGATCGGTGCCACGCCCCTGTTCAGTATCCTTTCATGGCTCCCACCGCCCCAGAGTGAGGTCATTCTCCTTAGCCTGGCATTCAAGGTCCTGTTCCACTTTCCAGGTTCTCCCTGGTGAGACCTGGGGCCCTTTTCCTCTCCCTGACTCACTCTCTACCCCTCCACCTGGCCCTTCTTCCTCTTCCACCCTGCCTTTGATATTTCTTCTGTCACAAAACCATTTTTTTCCCTCTTGTGCCTCAGTGTTACCATCTCCAGGAAGTGTTCCTGGATTCACCCAGCAGAATTTACTGTCCTCGCCTCCAATGCCCCGCTGAATGAATTGTGCCCATCCCCCCCGCCCCGGCAGGCAGAATTTCTCCTCCAGGTGGCTGGCTTAGATCTCCTGCGGTTCAGCTCTGATACAGGTGACAGGGCCTGGCAGAGACACGGTGGCAGAAACAGGGTCCTGATCAGCTCTGTTCCTAGGGGGGTGCCCAGGATCCAGCTGGTTATCAGCTGACCCGTGACAAAGCTGAGCCTGGGGCTGGTCGCGGCTTTGTGTTGGGGAAGCAAACCTCTCTTACTGACCACATATCCATCTGCCTGGGTAAGAATGTCACCAGCCAGACCCAACAGGTGCATTCTGCAGCTGGACCTCAGCCCCCTCCCCTGCTGAGAGAGGGTGGAGGAAGGAGAGAGTAGGAGAGGGGAGCTGTGACACGCCTTCCTGCCACCACCAGCTTTTCCAGCCCCTCGAGACATAGAGATGTGGGCTCTGGAGACAGACCAGAGTCCCTGCTCTAGGGACACGGCCCTCAGAAGCCCTTCTCCGTTGTTGAAAAACTTTAGCCAAAAAGCAAAACAAAAACAAAAGAGCACTTTAGCTAACAGCTGTCGGCTGGGTGCACCACCTGGCTGGGCCTGCAGGGTGGAGGAGAGAGGTGAGACCTCTCCTTTCTCTGGACAACAGTGGAGGCAGGAGGTGGAAGTGGAGGTGGCCTGGGTTCCCGGCAGGTGATTGTTCTCTACACCCGACCTGCCAGGGGGCCTGGCTAAGAACATGGCAGGAAGGAATCTCACCCACCACTCATGACTGAACTGAGTGACCTTTCAGGGGTCAGACAGACGGGCAGGCTGGACAATGATGTGGGTATTTAATAGAAAATATAACGGTAATAAAAATAGCTAAGCTGTGCAGTATTGACTACAGACCAGGCACCTTCAGTTTTTCTTGCTTTCCCTCAATCCTCACAGAAACGAGGGAGGGAGGCACTACTCTAGCCCATTTTGTTTGAGGTGCAGAACCTGTAGCTCACAGAGGTTAAGGGACTCGCCCTTGCCCCCAGCCTGTGCATGGTGCCACCGCAACTTGGACCCGGTAAAGGGATTCAAGCTCTGGCTCTGGCTGGTGTGCAGTATTGGTGGGATGCGGTCTCTGTCTTGTGGTGGGGCCCCTTTGGGCAGTGAAATGCAGCTCACCAGGTCGATATTGGATACTTCACCTAACTCTGGCCAGCCAAAGGCATTCGCTCCCCAGGCCCTGGGCCCAGCCAGCGCCTCTGCCCTGACTTCTCCCTGTGAGAAGGACCCTAGGGTCCCACCACCACCGGGGGCCACTCGGCTGGTCCCAGAAACTTTTCCGGGGCCAGGGACACCCTCCTAGCCCCTCTCCTATCCCTAGCCCCAGCCCCAGCCCCAGCTCTGCTCCCTCCCCTGGCCCGGTGGGAGGTTTCGGGCTGCACGCACCTTCCAGGCGCATCCCCACCGTCAGGCACTTCTGGAAGCGGCAGAAGGGACAGCGCTTGCGCTGCGTCTTGTCGATCTTGCAGCTCTGGCTCTCGGTGCACGTGTAGTGCTTGTTGTTCTGCACTGTGCGCTTGAAGAAGCCCTGCGGGCCGGGGAGGGGACGGACGGTCAGCCCGGCCCGCAGCCCGCGCCCGCGCCCGCGCCCCGCTCACCTTGCAGCTCTCGCACGTGAGCAGCCCGTAGTGGTAGCCGGACACCTTGTCCCCACACACTGGGCACAGCTCGTCCAGGTCCTCGTCGTACGAATAGTCCATGCCCGCGGCGTCCGCCTGCGGAGGGAGGCGCGGTCACCACCGGCCGACGGCGAGGGCGACCTGGCCCGCGGGCCCCGTGCCCGCGCCCCCCGCTCACCGCCCGCCCTCCCGGGGATCCTCCCGCGCCGCCGCCGCCGCGCCCGGCCGCCGGCCCTCGGGTCCCAGGCGCTTCGATCTGGATTCGTTCGTCCGAGAACAAAACCCCGATTCTGAGAAAACGAGATGGGTTCGGGCGCCGAGGAGACAGGCGCCAGGGAGCCCCGGCCGAGTGGGGAGGTGGGCAGACACAGGGAGGACGGAGTCGGGGAGGGACGGGGAGACGGGCGGGGCCCACAGCCAGGGACCCCGACCGACGCAGTCCGCGGAAAGCGAGCGGGCGCTAGGGACGCAGGGGGCCGAGTCGGAGGGGACCTTGGGGGGCGAGACGCGCAGCCCGGTGGGTGGATGGGTGGGTGGAGAAATGGAAGGACGGACGGGCGGACGGACAGACGGGTGGGTGGGTGGGAGATGGATAACGAAAGACAAACCGAAGCAGAGACAAGGACAGACAGAGGCCCTGAGGGAAAACCTGGAGAGAGATGCAGGGCCAGAGACAGCGTGAGGCAAGAGGCGGACCACGACACCGGGGACACCGAGGCACGGGGACAGAGACCCTGAGAGAAAACCTGGAGAGACGAGGGCCCGGCCAGGGGTCGGGGCGCGCAGTGCTCCGGCCGGGGCCAAGCCGCGAGGGGCGGAAAACGACGGCGCCCCGTTCGAAGCGCCCAAAGGCGTCGAGCGGCCACCACCGGGGCCCGCGGGCTGGAGGGACAAAGCCGCGGCGTCGCGACGGCCCCGGAGCGCGGCGGGGCCCCAGACGTCGGGCGCAGGAGCTGAGCGGGCTCCGGGAGGCCGGGCCGAGGCAGTGACCTTGGCGGACAGTCGAGTCCCCGAGAGCAGGCGGAGGCACAGCCTCGGTCCCGGGCGCGAGGTGCGGCGCGACGGCGCCCCGCGTCCCGCCCGTGCGGACCCGCACCTCCTGCCGCGCCGCCGCTGTGAGCCGCACCCGGGCGCAGCGCCGCCCGCGATGACGGCCGCTCGGGCCGGGGC